TGAGTGCTCTTTTCCCATCCACAGGACAGAAACAACCACAGCCACTGTTGGGAAAGGAGGGGGTGAAGGAAGATGGACAACAGCCAGGGAGAGTGTAAAAAATAATACAGGAGTACAGAGATACCTAAGAACAGTGGAGTCTTTCCCAGGCTGGAGACAAGTGAAGTGAAAAATATCAGATACCTGGAGAAGAGTAGATGGACATTCCCATAGGTATAGTCACAGGTCTCAGTACCAGTTTCTGGGTTTTTTGGTTTTTTTTGTCTTCTGTCACCCCTGGGAAGCAGGGAAATGCAGCTGACAGAGGTCTGAGGCAGGGGGACCAAGAGCTTTTCTTGAATATGCCCACAAGCACGTTCTGTACGAGGCACATGAAACCAGGTCTCCAAAGACCTGGCAAGGACGAAGCCAGGAGCTGCATCAGCATCTTCCCTCTCTGAGGGGAAGGTGAGACACCCTTCCTCTGGTGCTGGTTGGACAGACACTCGCTAGTTTTGCAAACGAAATTTCTTGTAAATGTGCCCATGACAATCTCTTCTAACAACATCCCTTGTAATATTCCCCTTTTCTGATCTTTGAGTGGCACTTGGAGACACGCACGGAAGATGACTATGTTGAAACAGCATTAAGAACGTAACTTAAACCCACAAAAGTCAGGAGACAGAGTGAAGGCTGAAAAAATGTGGGCGGATATCCATCCTGTCCTTAGCTCACTCCAATTCTAGACAAAATTGCAGCTTCGTACATCTGATCTTTAGCAGCACAGGGAGTGGCCACTGGGGCCAGCTCAAGAATTCTCTTTCCAATTGTAGCGGTGTGTTTTTGTGGTAGAACATGCTTTCCCCCCCCCCTTTCCTTTCTTTTCTCTTTCCCCCAGGACTTGCCTCTTTTTTTTCTCACTTTGATTCATTGTTTGTTCCTTGAGCCTTTCCAGATAAGATGTGGAGAGATTTGATTAAGACTCCAACTGGATTAATTTACCACCAAAGCACTGAATAACCTCCCAGGCTTTGCTGTGGCTGGACCCCCACACTCTTCCCTTACGCTAAACCAAAGAACAGTTCAGCTCCTGGCACCTGTCTCTTCTTACATGACTATATTTGGGAGCTGGGGTACAGAAACAGATGTTGTATTAATGACCACAAACCTAAAGCTTCAGCTGAAAACCTCAGCAACTGTTCGGCAACAGGTGCACTACGGTCTGAATGTCAAAACTGCAGCAAAACTTTCTCTGGAGGTTTCAGCAGCTTCTCCTGGAGTCTGTGTAACAGAGCCATGAGCAGGTTTGTACCCGTGAAGAGCTTCGTTTGCTGCCTTTATTCATCTGCAGTGCACACTCAAGGCCCCTTTCTCTCCTCCACTGCAGTAAGAGAAGCACTGTTGGGTTGACTCGAATGCTGCTGTAAAAGAGACACAAGGCAGAAAAAGAGCAGTTCCTCCTGGCATGGATTTCCCCAGTGAATGTCTCTTGGTTTCCTTCCGAGAAGGGTTATCAGAGGAGTGCTGATGTCAGTCCAGACCCTCTCCAGATTTTGACCTTCCTTTATTTCTTTGTATAGGAAGGTTCTGAGCAGATGCAGTCAGGACAGATACATTTTTGAAAACACTTTATTCTTTCTGGGATGCCTTTGCCAGAGCTGCCAGTTTAGAGAGCAAATTTGGGCACTTCTCTAGTGTGAGAATGAGCTTTCTTTCAAAAATCCCAGAGGGCTTCACCACATTTTGCTTTAAGATTCCTGTAGGAAAAGTATGCTGTGCTCCATTGTTCTTGCATGAATCTGTGTTTTTATAAGTATAAATTATGGCATTCCAGAAGACAGGTGTGATTTAGAATGGCTCCAGTCCTTGACAGATGAGAGGGAATAGTTCTTGTGATTGCTCGGGCAGTGTGGGTGGATGATGCCACCACCTCCCCTGCGTCCTACAGTCACATCCCCGAATGCTGTGGTACAAAAGGATCTCCCCCTTTAACTCTCACTGTGGACACTGGGACTCTGTTCTGCATCACTGGGGCTTTGGCTCTTTATTTTTCTCTCTGGAAGATGTGGATGTCTTGGACATCTGGTAGCTTTTGGGATGGCTGTGCATGGGAGGGTGCAGATACTGCCTGTCTACTCCTGAATCCCTTCCAAGTTAAGAGATAGGGACGCCAAGTCTGGTTCTACCCTCCATCCCACCTGCAGCTGGACACGTGCCTCAGCCGTGGGGTCGCAGCCATCCGTGGAGCACGTTAATTATCTACTCATGAGATCAGAGAGCACCTTCCAGCCACGGGCCTTGATCCACAGAACCATTATACAGGATTTCTAAGTATTTCCCCAGATGCCCCAAGATTTAAGGCAGCTTTAAACTGCTCCCCTGAGCCCCTTGTCTAGCTCTGCATCCCCCACCACAGTTTTGGAGTCCCAGACTTGCTCAGGCTGCCCAGTTCTGTTATAAGTAACTGCTTTCTGAATGCTGCATGCAAAATTTAGGAATGCATCGATACATGACATCCTAATATGAACCATACCAGTAACATTGGAATTTAAATATTCATGGCTACTGAACGCAGATGGTGAGTACTGTGTGCCAATACATTATTGCTTTGAGTCTCTGCTCAAGTGAGGCTTAGTCCAACTTTATCTGAATGCAAGGATTCCAGCCTAATCCTTTGGGGCTTTGTCTTGCAATTACAACAAATAACTATTTATTTTACACTGCCTCTGGGAAAAACCTGAAGCAGAAAACTATAATATCTGAAGTCTGGTCTAGTTTACAGAGCTGGATGCTGACTGCTAAAACACTTATGGAATGCCAATGTTTCGATTTATTGAATGCACTGTGTGACTTAAGCTTCAGTGTACAAAATTCATGAAAAGTTTTAGCCCATTTAACATGTTTTCCCAAGTTTGCAAATACACTTGTTTTACTCGATCTGTACAAAAAATGGACCCAAGCCAAATGGTGCTGTTTGAAACCGGCTGTTCAGTTGTACAAAGGTTAGATAGCAGAATAGAAACACTACGTGGCAGGTTGAACTAAACCCAACCAAAGGCAATGGGTTCGCTCTCGGTTCTTTTAACGCGGAAACCCAGCGTGAAAGGTTAAAAGATGGGTGTTTTTGGGAGATAATTAAAGAAACGCTCACCCCACGAGCAAATCAGTACCTGACTCTGACCTGCGGGTTATGACTTTCTTGTTGATTTAGGCAGGGACATGCTATGCACACACCTGGTGTTTATGGAAAGCGTGGTGCGGAGATAAGCTTTCTCAATTGTTCCAAAAACCTGTCTTACACCTCCAACAATAGCAGTGGCAACGGTTCCTGGAGTATCGGAAAGGACTGGTTGCAAAAAAGTAAAGGCAAAAAAGAATTCCTTTCACGGAGGAGTTAAATCACTTGAAAACTATAAAAAGTCTTGCGAGCACGTCCTGCAACCTGTTGACAACATAGCTGAGATCACTGGCATGGGACTTGTTGATAGCTTACACAGACACCTGCACTAGATGTTGGAGTAGCGGGAATTTCTCTTAGCTGTGCTCAAACTGACTGTACTCCTTCGCCTGTGGCTTGGGATGCATTTTTTGAAGATTACATACAGTCTCATTAGAGATCCCTGATCTTGTGTGCCACTGATACAGACGCTGCAGTCTTCCAGCTGTATCCCGGGCGACAAGGTAAATCCACAGTGCTCTGCCTATTGTTCCATCTTCTCCTTTCTTTCCGAGGTCCCCTAAGCGTTTCTCCCCCTTCAGCTTCCCCCTTTCCTTTCCAACAACCTTCCCAAACCCAGGTCCTGACACCCATCCAGCCATCTGATCCCTGCCCGCTTTGGGGAGACGCTCTTCTAATGGAATTCATGCAAGTTAAAGAAAGCAGCTCACGCATATCTGCGGAGGCCAAAAAGAAGGAGGAGGGGAAAAAAAGAAACAACCAAAAAAGTGAGGAATTGCTTTTTCCAACATAGGAATTTCCATGAAATTCCAACGAGGCATTTGTTCTTTTGCCTCCCTCACTGCTAACTTCAGAGGTGCAGCCAGATCTGGTCACCATCCTTTTCTAAAAAAAATTTTTTTTTTTTTTACTTTTTCTTTTTTTCTCCTCTTCTAAGGCGCGTTTTAGTGCACCTGCAGAAAGGCTGAGCGCCGGGAGAATAGGAAATTGGAAATAAAAACTCCCGCATTGCTGGAGAGTGAGAGCATTTGTTTAGGAGGCCAATTATATCCGTCCCGGGATGATTTATATTAGCGGGGTAATTAGCTGTGCGCGCGGGGCACCTGCTCCCGGCCCGGCCGGGAACCCCCCGGCCCCTTACCGAAGCGGCTGTGGTCCTGCCGGGTGCCCTGCACCGTGCCGTTGGGGAAGATCTCCAGGTGGAAGCCGGTGCGGCAGTAGAGCTGCCGCCGCCGCAGGATACCCTTGAGGTGAGCGAAGTCGGTGGGGGAACCCCGCTGCAGCCGCCCCTCGATCTGCCCCAGGCGCTCGTTGAGGAAGCCGGGGGAGTCGGCGAGGGGCAGCCCGGCGCCCAGCGCGGGGGGGAAGCCGTGCAGGTCGGGGTCCAGCGCGCCCAGAAAGCCGCCCACCTCGGCCATGGGCGCGGAGCGCAGCGGCCCCGGGGGCGCGGGCACAGCGGCCGCTCAGAGCGCGCACTGCGGCCGCCCGGCCCCGGCGCGGCCCCGGCCCGGCCCCGCGCCGCCCGCGCCTCCCATCGCTCGATCCAGTGTCCCGCCGTCGGATGCGAACTGCACTTTATATACGTACACACTCCCCTTACATTGACATATTGGATATTTAAATGCAAGCCACACCTCACTGGCATCCCCTTTGGCTATTGCTTTTTTTTTTTTTTTCTCCCCTTCTTCTCTGATCCATTTGGCTATTTTTTTTCTCTTTAAAAAAAAAAAAAAAGGTGGGGGGCGGCTTCACTCCCTCTTTTATTATGAAAAAAAAATGGCAGGAAAAAGCTACACATCGCAGTGAAGCATAACAGCTCTTGGCAGGTCCCCGCCAGCCGACGATGAAATCATGGAGCCCCCGCACCAACCCGCTCCCGCAGCGGCTGCCCCGCACCGCCCGCAGCCCCGGACCCGCAGCCGCGCCCCCGGAGCCCCCTCGGGCCGTCGGTGCCGCCGCCTCAGCCGCGGCCGCGCCCCCGCCCAACAACTCCCCCCGAACGGACACGGTGGAAAAAACAACACGTGAAGAGAGGGTCGAGACGCGTTTTTTCAGCCGAACGCGTAAAAACGGAACGCGATGTCTCTGCAAGGCGCTCCCGCGGGCTGCACGGCCGGGCTACAGCCGGCGGCAGGGGAGGGAGCCCGCGGCGGGGCCGGGCAGCGCCGCTCGCCCGCCCTCCCTCCCCACCTTCCCCGTGTTGGAAACAGGTGTTTCCGCGCTCTCCCGGCCCGCCGACACCGTACGTGCGGCGGCAGCCGCGGCCGCGCTGCAGCCGGCGGAGCCGGGCGGGGCGGGGCGGGGGCAGCGGGGCGGCCCGGGCACGGCCGGGCCGGGCGGGCCCGCGGGCAGGGAAGGCCCGGGCCCGGCCGCCCCCGCCCTGCCCGGCAGGCGGCGCTGCCCTCGCGCCGCCCGGGGCGCGGGGCGGCCCCGCCGGGGCGGCTGAGGCGGCCCCGGGGTCTGGGCCGGGCTGGGCCGGGCTGGCGGGTCCCCGGGCCGGGGTGTCGCCCGCGCCCTCCTCCGTGCCCCGCCAGGGGACAGAGACCCTACAAACAAGCAACAAGCACCCGAAACTGCCCCCGAGCCACCAGCCCGCTCTGCCGCGGCGGCTCCTCCGGGGGGCGTCAGCGTGCAGAGGTCATGTCTCCCTCAGCGGGTTTCCCCCATGGCGTGTCCCCGATGTGGGGCTCATCTCAATGGCATCTCTTCCCAGGTGGATATCTGTGCAGAGGGTCTCTCCCCTCAGCGGGTCCCCCCTATGGCAAGCATCCCGCCAGCAGGTCTCCCACTTTAGCAGGTCTCCCCTCAGTGTGACTCCCCTCTTAGTGGGTCTCTTCTCTCAGCAGGTCTCTTCCCTCAGGTCTCTCCTCAGCAACTCTATCCCATGGTGGGTATTCCCTCAGAAGTTCTCTCCCTTCCAGGGAATAGCACCTCAGTAGGTTCCCGCCATGGTGGGCACCCCTTCAGCGGGTCTCTCCCCTCAGCAGGTCTCATCCCACAGCAAGGTCCCGCTCCCCTCATCACCCCAGCGGGAGGGTTGAAATGACCCTGCAGGCCTGGGCAGTGCTCTCTTGTGAAGACACGAAGGAAATTGTCTGAAACACCCGCTCGTGTGCCTGCAGTGGGTGAGGGATCTGGGTTTTAAATGGGGCTTTGGGGTGGTTTTTCCTGTCACAGCTGTAAAAGGGGTGTGTTTGATGCAGAACTCAACACATGAAGCCTAAACCCATGTTTTTTATAGAAATACAGGCTGTTCCAGAGGTAGTAAAATCTACAGAAGTGTGTTTGTTGACTATTTGTTTATCATGTGTGGTTACATGGAGATACCACTGTCTGAGGAGTTCAAGCATCCCACTGCAAAGATTATGATTTTATTGCTGTAGTATCTCTATGAAAACTTAGGTGTGATGAGATAACTGTGGGAAATAAATTGTGCCTTCGTAAAACTGACAGTGATACAGGATGGGGACGGGGCAGACACAGCTGATGGGATACCCCAAATCCAGAATTACTGTTAAGGACATAATCCTGTAAATCCTGTGAATTTAATGCATAAAATTCATGTAGTGTGAATGATCACATTACAATCAAATATGCCTTTCTGTAAAGTGTGGTTTTGTTGATGTATGTGAGAGGTTTGCCTCTAGATTCATAGCAAATTCATGTTTCTGAATCCCTGTTTCTGAACATGTCTGAGGGCTGATCCCAGGGGTACTAGGAAGAGAGAAGAAAAATCAGTTTCCACATTGAAGGACTAACCAAACCGTGCAGAGGCTTCTGCCAGTGGCTTCAATAGCCTCTGGATCTGTTATAATATCCTTAAACCCAAATCCATACAAGCACTTAGTGGAACACTTAGGATACTGAAAAAGGTAACAGAGTTCAATTACACTACAGTGAAATCCAAGATAAAGTCAAAACCCACAAACCTGCGTGCTTAACTAATGTATAACAAAAGCAGCACAATCCCCCCGTCCAAGCTGACATTCCTCACTTAACTCTCCCAATTATGGGCAGCTTTTGAAGTGTCCGCGATACATTTTATTGAGAAATCGTACAGGCTGGTACAACGTGTTCTATTGAGGCACAACAGGATGTGGAAAGGTAGCTTTCTCTTTTTTTTTTTTTTTTCTTTAATTTCCTGGTTTATTTCTGGTTTTGCTAAGCTGAGGAAAACACAGATTTCTGCTTTTACATATTTCTTACACATATTTCTATTTTAAATACTGAAAGCTAGAGTGACTCCTTCAAAAGCAGAAACGGGTCTAGCAATTTTTTTCATGTATTATGTAAAACACAGTTCTGCACTCAGTAATTTCTTAAAACAGCACAGAAACTTGTGTACAATTTGTGACACAGAACACAGTGTTACAAAATTAACTTTCTGCTCTGCTTTGTTTCAGTTCTCCCGGGTTTATTCTTTGATTACAGCTTCCATTGTTCACTTTGGGAACTGAAATGGTTACTGTCAAACTGCTCTGCCTTTCAGTTTTCCGAAGAATTAGCAATGATTTTTATACACAGTTTGCAGATCCCTTCCTTCACACTATTTAGCGAGGTAGTAAAAATATTAAGGGTGTTTATTTGCGGAATAATTGCTATCCATGGAGAGCAGCCACATTTTATATCTGCCTATAAAATCAAAGGAAGAACAGGACTGGGATCAAATCAGTAAATTAATTAGAAAAGAGTAAGATAAATAAATGCAATGAGCAAATCTAGATACTGCATATCCTCTGCCTGGAGCTATTCCGTTTGGTAAAGAAAAGATCAAGACAGCTGAAATAATCTGAAGTAGCAACGGCCATGAATGAAAAATCAGATGTAAGGGATACCTGAGGATAAAGAAATAACAGAGCCTTGAGCTTTAATAAACAATACTTCTGCTTCCTTAGCACTTTCCACCTCAGGATCTCAAAACAATCTATGTACACTAAGGAATTAAGACTCACAACCAAGGTCACTGTGCAGCTCCTTTTCCCCGGACAGTCTCCCTTTCCACTAAGAGATGTTGTTCAAAGGATATTGATGGTTTTCTGTATTTGTTTGGGATTTTGGATGCATAGCAGCCCTGCTGGAGCAGCAGCTTTGACCAGGTTTCTGTAATCCAGAAACCAGACACGTGCACCATGAGCCCTTCTGCCTTTTGTGGTGTGGTGACCATCTGTGCTGCACATGCAAGGAATGTCTGAGCTCTCCTGGCAGATAAATAGGGCAACCTCCTTTGTGAGGGGATGAATAAAAAAATTTTCTTAAGGGGAGCAGAGAGTGGTTTATTGGTTTTTGCCTTTGATTGGTTTTACTTAAGCTAGTATTATTATTGTTTGTAGTACCACTTCCAGGCCCTAGACGCTGTTTGTGCTGGAGACTGCGTTAACAAGTGTGTGACAAACCAGAGTCCTTGACCTGAGGAATCTCACTGCTCTGCCTTGTGGAAGGATTTCTGATGGAAGGCAACAGAATTTCAGTCCATGTATGTTTTTGTGGACAGTTTAGAATTGGTGGCAGAATGAAGGTAAGGGTCTAAGGATAAAGCTCCAGACTTACCTACCTGGGTCTTGGGTTCAGGGGCCTAAATAAATGATGTGATTTTCAAACAAGGAAGTACCCACCTTTTCCAGTTATTGCTAGTTTGGTGTCAAACACGGATCTGCTGGTTTTAGTAATCCATGTATGGATTAACAAGTAGGAAGAGAACCATTCTGGCTCAGCTCTGACTCCTGAGAACTCCCATTTGGGGAGAGTTGCTGTGACTGAGAGCTGGTCTTACAGGATCAAGTCACTGACAAGCACAGTGAATGAACAGAGGAGCCTCGTTGACCCTCACGTATGTTGTTTTGCCTTGGTTCTGTCCCATTTGAAAATTGCAGGTACTTATTCTTCCTGGAAAATTGCACCTATCCTTGGCATGGCTAAACACAGGATGGAATCCTGACGCAAATTATTCCCGCCAATACATCTCCGAGTGCTGGGTGCTGAATGAGGAATGGGAAAGGCTTCTTTATTGGGTAAAGTGGTGAGTGATGCAGTCATCTCGTCTCCACTTGTAACCTTTTTCCTTGGGATTTGGGCTAGAATTACAGGGCTACTGAGTCATTTGGGCCTTTGGCATTTGGCCAAGTGTACCAGAGAACATGTACCTGTGTAATTCTACCCCTCAGTTCTGCACAGCAGTGTGGCTTGCCATGAGGCTACCGATTGAGACAGTTTTTCTCTCTGCAGTGTTTGTATCTGGTGTGTGCCTTTGTCTTGTAGTTTATGATGTAACTTTATGCCAAGACGGGAGCATTTCCTTCTCAGATGTTGAACCAAGGGGCAAAATAGAAGTTAGAATAAGGGTATTATGGTAAAATGCCTTCACTGTAATCTTCTTTTTTAATGGTTGGGGTTTTTCTGGCGCTGGTTTGAGGAACAGTTAAGAAAAGGGTAGTGTATAATCTGTTATAGTAGGCTTGTCATCCGATTCGTAGGCTCAGAGCTGCTGTGGGGTGCTGAGTTCTGGGTGAGTCACTTCCCTCTCTGCTTCCCGTAATGCTCAGGATGCTGGAGTTTGTAAGGAACAAGATCTGTTTGTCTCTATTGTTGAAGGCTTACCATGACTTCAAATTCTACCCTAGACCTAGAGCAGGGCTGGAAGTTTTAGTCTGTGTTTTGAAGCCCCTCTGTGGCGTGGTCACATTCAACAAACTTGATAGGCAGTGACTCCAGTAGCTCTCCAGTTTCTCATGCTAAACTCTCAGTCACCTAAGTCGTTGCTGACTAACAGCTGAAATTTGGAGCTAGTTCTTTCCACTGGATTTGTCTCTTTTGCTATAATTAGGGAATAAAAAGAAGGATAACATCATAACTTTCTTTGGAAAACACAAATTCAGAATATACCAAATTAAATACAAGAACCAGTTCTAGTCCTTCCCAAATAAAACATGCTGGCATTTACGATATTACTCTTCTAAGTGCACACATTTGTACTGTAGCAGCTTTTTATGAAATTATCCATGACCATAGACGGTATCTGTTTACATCTGCATCAGTGACTACTGATCAAACACAAAAAGCAAAGGTCTGTCTAGCCCCATATCCTGCCTCTTGATAATGGCTAATAACCTGTGTATGGAAAACAGGACAAGTATGGAGTGATACTTCCTTTTGTAAACCCTCCCAGCTTCCAGTGGTTTTTGTTAAAGAGACCTTCCTGAGCTGGAGGCTGCAGCTGTATCATTGTTTTTGGTATTTCTTGATGGACCTTTTTCCATAAAATTGTCTAATGGTTTTTGTAAAACCCACTTGTCCTTTTGGCTGCCATAACATCCCGTGGCAATGAGTTCCACAACATCATTAGGCATTGTGTGAAAATTAACTTCCTTTTGTTTGCTTTTGAACTTGCTTGCTGCCTGCCAGTTTGAGTTGGTGCCCTATTATTTCTGTTAAGACTACTTTTAAATAATCATTGCTGTTTACGTTTTCCATGCTGTAACAGCATGTCTAGAACTTAATTGTTGTTATCCTTGTTTTCCAGGTTGAACGGCTCTGGTTTGTTTAAGTTTTCCTTATGCTAAGGCTTTCTGACACCTCTTGTGCAGCTTTGGTACACCATAGCCCTTTCTGTGGCTTTGTATTTCCACAATTGCTGGAACTGTGCTCAGTATTGGAGAAATAGGCATTAGATTTATTCAGAGAAATAATACCATTTTCTGCTTTGTCCTCATTCTTCTAGAAATTCCCAACAGGACAGTTTTCCCCAACTGCTGACACCGTGCTGTTTGTTTTGGAGAGTGATCCACTTCTCCAGGATTTCTTTCATGGCTGATTTGAAGCATGGTAAGAATGGCTTTTTCCTCATCCATTCTTTTTATGCGTGAACCTTGAGTTAAATTTGCTGTTTTAACATCCACTCACTGAATAAATTTTAGGTTTCATTTTTGGGAATGGCTTTGTGTCATCAGCCACCTGCCTACAGCATTTCATAGAGTCATAAAATCATGGAATCAACCGGGTTGGAAAAGACCTCGGAGATCATCAAGTCCAACCCTTGATCCAACACTGCCATGGTTACTAGACCATGACACTAAGTGCCACAGCCAGTCTCATCTTAAAAACCTCCAGGGACGGTGAACCCACCACCTCCCTGATCATTTATGGAATGGGACACAGCAGCAGTCCATCACAGACCCTATTCTGGGTCTGTGGGGAGCTTCCAGCATCACTGGTGCTGAACATCCATTTCTCTTGGTTATGGTCACCAGTTATGTCACTTATTCTCTCTTTCATTCTTGCAGTAAGGCTCATTTATGAGCTGGATTTCATACCATAGTTAATAGTCTGGCAATTTGCCATGTGATACCTGTAGGATTATCAATTAATCCTCATGTCATGTTTTCATCTGTGCTGCTGCCCTAAATTCCTTCTCCTTGCAAAAGGGCTGTAGGTCTGTATTGAACACGAGTACCAAGACTCACCGAGCTTTCTTGCTGTCGCCTCATCACCTGGGACTGGTTTTTAAATGCCTCAGTCCTTGGTGCTGCGAACTGTTCGGGCTGAGGCCCAGATTCACACGTTGCCACGCTGTCTGTAATCTTCTGTGGTCAAGTTGCTCTGGGACTTTTGGCCCAGTATCTCTGTATCTGTCTTTAGGGATGACACTGATTCTCTTACTGGAGAAATAAACTGAAATACGTTGGTGTGTGATGTGGAGTTAGGAAGTCTAAGCTCAGAGTTATTCTAGAAGTGGATGATTCGATGGGACATCCTAAAATAAAGAGCAGAGGGAGAGAAAAGGGAAAAATAAAGTAAACAAGCCCCCCCCCCCCTTTTCCTACTTATGACCCCCTCTTTTCCTGCTTATGCTAACAGGCTCCAGTTTTGGCATTTTGGATGACTGAAGCTTTTCAGTTTAACTGTTATGTGAGTAACATTACTCAAGTTCATTTATATAGTACTGGATTAATTTGTATAAAGAAAATTATAAAGAAACACAGGAAAACATTTAAAAATGTAAATAAACTGACTTTCTAATTATTCTGTAATTATTCTTTTCTATATAGAAATTCTCTATACCTTACTAGGTTTGTTCTTTTCTCTAATGAATCAGTTAATTAAAATGCAGCATTTGTCCCTTTTTTCAAAAAAGCAGCCACGTACTTTGCAAACTTGATTAGAGAAATGATAACTGTAGGATAATTCCATGATCAAGCAACCAATTGCCCTGCAAATCATTCTGCTTCATCACTCTATGTGGAGAGAGGAAGGAATGGGCCATGAAAAGCATTCTAGAGGTTTATTTTTGGTGAGTTCTGCAAGTGGCCAAAGGATAGGGAGCACACAGTCAAGAGAGCACTGTCTTGCTTGCATCTGATTGCCACCCACTGAAATGTGCTTTACCCTCTTTCAGAAGGAAGTGTGTTTTTTTTCAGGAGACCTACTTGAGTTTCATAACATGAGTTTCATTAAAATCTGTCCCGAGAAATCGTGAGTTAACAGAATGCAGTTCCTATAGCATTAACCTTTCCCAAATGCAGTATGTAGTAATCACAGTTCTGGTAGATTGAGTTTCGTGTGAGATCTCAAAATGTTTATTTTACAGCATCCTTTGCTGTGTTTGTGCAGCATTGCTGTTGCCTTTCTCCAGATGGGAACACGCAGGAATGCAGGAGCCAGGTGGTTTGCTCAAGGACATGAGAGTCTGTCTTCAGTGCAGTTAACCGGTGCCTTACTGGCACTTGTGGTGGCTGTGCTTTGGTCTGAGCGGTCACCTGGATTGTGTTTACTTCCCTCCCTGGGCTGCTAGCATTCCTTAATTCCATGTCTTGCAAGAAAGTTCCCCTGAGGATGTGTAGGGCCCTGAGCAACAAGCACAGCGTGAGCGGCTGCAGAGTCTCTTTTGTCCAGAGATCCTGTTAGTGGAAGACAACTGCACCCTGTGGTTCTTGGGCTCAGGAAGGATGAGCCTCACTCATGTTTTCTTTCTCAGTTAATTCTGATAGGATTTATCTGTCCTAAGAGTAGGAGGTGGGGAAAGCACAGAGGCTTGGTCTGTGTTCTACCTGAGTAGTGGTTCCAGCTTCAAAAATCAGAACACTGCTTTTGGTGTTGAGAGCTGGTAGTTCTGGTGCTGGGTGGTGGAGCTCTGTCTGAAGCATCACCAGCCTCACAGTTTTGCATGTGGATGGGAAGCAGAACCCAGGCTGGCACTGAGAGCCATTGTTGACTGTAGTGAGGACAGAAACCCAGAGCTGAGCGTAGCTGAGACCTCAGAAGTCTGGATTCTCAAACCTTTGCTTAAGAGCATGGGATATTTATGGCCTTGATAAAATTAGGGAAGAAAGACGAGGAGCATCTTCTCATGTACTTGTCTAAATGTGTTGGGAAATCCTATTGCTGAGGTCTCCTAAAAGATGAAAAACTTCTCAGATATCTCCCTCAGCATTAAGAGTGTCAAAACACGAAAATTAAAATACCCTCAGAAACTGGGAAGTCTCAGTGTGATCTTTGAAGATCTTGCTGATGTTGGGGTTATGGTTTAGCGTAGTTGGAGTCTGGTTCTTTCATTAGAAAAAACAGAATCAAATGCAAAAATGAAAATAAAATTAACACTTCTTCAGTTTCCTTTGTAAACAAATCAGAAACCTTAAGGCCAGGAGAAGAACACCATGGCTACCAACTGGGATAACTCAGTTTCGGCCTGAGAGAAAGAAATGATAGATCTCTCAAGTATATGCTACCTCACAGGCAGATTGTAATGAAATCCAGCCAGATTGAAGGGAAAAACAAAACCTATTGATTTTATTCCAAGGGAAGAGAGAGAAAAAGAACAGATGTGTGGAGTCTTCTGTCCATTCACTGCAATCTGCAGTGCTGACTTAAAAAAGATAACAGCTTAAACTTTGTTTCTTCTCGTGCTTCCCTCTGTAGAAATGCCCTGCCTTAGTCACCCAAAAGATTCAGTTTGGGGGAGCAGAGAGGAGGGGGAGCAAGGACCTCACACAAGAACTGACCTAAACTCTGAGGAGGTTTGTATAATCTAATTTACAATAAAATGGTATTTACAATGTTATCAGACAAAGCTTAGCAGTGTTAAGTTAAACAGCATATAATGTGATTAGTGGGGCAGTCATGCCCATGATGTCATACACATTCTCTGAACTCTTGGAACGGGCAGATAATGTCTCAGGCATTTGTTCTCTTATGACACAGGAAAGGCTCCGTGGAGCTCTGGGGGCTGGGAAGGCTCTGTGCATGTTCCCATGTCCCACAGCACTGCAGAGGCTGCTCCCCTTGGTGCAGCACTCGGGCTGTGGTTGCTCCCTGCCGGCTCTGTGCTGTGGAGTGGTTAAAACAGGCCTTTGGGAATAGTTTAGAAGCTTGAAATTCTATTCTTGACTCTGCCACAGACTTGGGTTTTGACCACTAAATCTTCTTTGCCTCTGGTAACTCCATTTTTAACTAGCAAAGGTAGTCAGCTGTGTCTGTGGAGTGCCCTGAGTGGGAGCTGTATGGAGATGGAAACCACTGGCATTCTGTTCATTATGCAGAACAAATACAGCTAGACCACAAAGAGCTTTGCTGTAGCAATTTCACAGCTAGTAATGACCTATTCAGAGAAAATTAAATCTTTATCTTTCTGCCTCTCCAAGGCATGCAAAATGGTATTAAAAATTTTGGCTAATCTAATTAATATGGAAAAGCAATATAAATCTCAGCTATAGATTCACATCAAAGATAATCTGGACTGGGTTATTTTAAAGCGTGTTTTGCTTTAAAAAAAACTCTTGCTGAAAGCTACTGAATGAGGCAAAGCTCCCTTTAAATTTTCAAGTTATTGTAGTGGTTGTGAAAGGACAAATTCTGGAACATTTTAAGAGTATTTGACTCCCCCATGTCCATCAGGGACAATAAGCCCACATTGCTTCATGCATGTTAATGTTTAATAGAAACATGAAGATTGCATAAACATTCTTTCTGCCATGGTGTGAAGGCTGTATAAATTGTTTAACTCTGGGGTAGAGATTGACTAGATAGTATTCCTGTTTTCAGTGATGCATGGAATGAATGTGGGCTAGCCTCAAGTTCAAATGGGAGTTGCAGATGTGGAGAATGAAATGGGGGCTGCATACAGAGCTGAAAAAGCTGAAGGAAAGTGATGGGCAGGAAGGAACAAGTGAGCTTGGAAACTATGGCTCATGCAATGTCAGCTCTATTCTATGTTAACTGCAACACTTGCATGGTGCCCATCTTTTCTCCCGAGCAGCCCCTGCCTTGGCTGCAGCACTGCCGTGTGTTCATGGCACGGGTGGGATGTGTTGGAAAGCGCACACAACAGTTTTGTTTGGCGGCAGAGGGATGCCAGCGAGAGTAAATCTTTGCTGTTCAGAAAGCATAAGCCAAGCTTCTGTCTCTGTGGCTGATAAATCAGGAGCAGGGGCCAAGTGTAATATGAACAGAGCATTGGCCAGTCTGGTCAGACATGTGGGATGTACTAACAACAAGAGGGAATGAAAGCAAAGCCTGCAGGTAGACACCTTTTAAATAATCAAGGCTGACAGTTTTACTACAATGGCACAGTTTAACACTTTGTAGGTATGTGCTACAGTATAGGTGCTGCTTATGCTTAGTAGTCTGCAAGCATTACACAGGTTATTTAGAGGAGAAGTTTTATTTCAGGCATTTTTATGTTTGTTAATATAATTACAAACGTAATATCTTATTGTTGCAGATGGTATTGCCAAGGGACAACTCTGAATGATGTACCAAAGACATTTAAATGACCTAGATTAAACTCACAGAAGACTGTGCATTCCAGATATGTTCTCAAACAGAGAACCTTTCCAGGAATGAGTATTTCTGTCACTCCTTATTAAAGACATGTACAAATACTTATGTGATACCTGGGCAGTCAGAGAAGTTGTGTAGAGGCAGAATGCACACAGTGCCTTGAGTCCTGAGGACTGGGCTGGGTTATGGACACCCTGCACACTGTGATAGGATGTTCTGTCCCAAGCCTCAGTTCACCTCTCTGGAAAAAGCATGTGATGCTGTGTGCAGCAACTGGCCTAGGAAAAGTATTTTGAATTTCTAGTGACAAAGACCAATTAGGGACATACACAGTCCTTAAAGCAGAAAACTTCACAAACTGTAGAGCCTGAAATCTCAGTGAGCAAAATGCCTTCCTCCCAGCTCTCACAGGAAGCAAGTTAATTGGGAGACCAATAACTATAATGAGGCAGAACCTGGGGTTTTGCGTGTGTATGGTGAGATCCTCCCCTTGGGGCCAAACTCCTGTTCCATATTATGAAAGCAGTAAAAGGTCCCCTCAGCAGGTGCTGCATAAAGGCATTTCAGCTTTGCCTTTGCAGTGTTGGAATTGCCAAGCTATTGCTTTCCTGAGTCTCCAAATGAATTCCCCTACTCAATGTGGAACAGCTGTGTGAGAGATACAGCCTTGAGAAAAGGGGTGGCAAAGGAACGCAGCAAATGGGGATTTAATCAAATAGCACAGGGCTGCAAAACGACATCAGCGTGTTCCTGCTCAGCTTTCTTTGGGAAAGGGAGACCCTCTCAGTATCAAAGTCCAGAGAAGAGAGGTAACATGTGCCACTGAGGCCTTTCTGTGTGACGAGAGTGAGTGAATAGCACTGGCTGTGTCCATTCACGTCTCAGTAACAGCAGGGTGACCTGCAGTGATGCCCAAGAACTTTACATCTTAGAGAGAGATGGTTCTTTTTTTACCCACCTGAGTGTGGCTGCTGCCTCTGCAGAGCTAACACAGGATGGCTGCCCCAAACACCCAGGCTTTGGCCATTTGAGCCAGGAAGTGGATCAGGAACTGTGATGAGATGGGATAAGTCTGAGAGGACGGAAGCAGTTCTTCTAGTAGACTTTAATTAGGTCATTCCTTCATATATGATTGTAGAAGTAGTTGCTTTCTTCCTCATCAAAGCCTTCCAAAACATGGTTTGCAACAAAAAAAAAGCTGTGTCAGGGGAGAAAAGATTATATTAAGGACCACAAATTGAGAGAGTTACTGTTTTTCACTTGCACTGCTTTTATTTAATACTTTTTGGAAGGAAAGTTTGTTGTGTGTCCAGTCTACCTATGTGAATTTTCAGAGTGCTTCCTAAGAGGTTTTTGGCAATCTATCAACCTTATCAGATACTGACTATGCCTGTTTGATGTGAGTGATTGCTTAGTTGTAAGTGTTATGTCTGAAATATAAAACAGACAGGGAAAAAAGGAAAATGAAGAAGAGTTTGTAACAAGCAGAATATAGCTGGCTAATTACTGTGGCAGGATAATGTCTTAGAAAAATCCACACCATTATCAAACTGCCATTTTTTCTTGTTTCCATGACATAAAATTTCTTTGAAATCTTTTGGTTTAGAGTGTGTATGCACTTTAAATAGTGATCAGAGCTAAACAGCAGCATCTGTCAGAGAAGATAAATGACCTACCAGCAAATCCTCTCAGTTAAAAGCAAGACAAAATCTATGGAGTAGGGGAATGAGTTTTAAATTAGTAATTTCACTTAACTTTACCCTAATGAAGGGCTAATCTTTGGACCCCTGCAAAACAAATGAGAGCATCTAGTTAGATCCAGCGGAAACCGGTCATTGAAAAGGCTTTTTCCTTATGAAGCCTAATTGGAAGCAAAGTAATTCCTTTGATAGCTGTCTTCATTTACCAGTATCTTTCCCTCTCCCTGATTTATGTACAGTAAACTAACGACTCTGTTAATTACAAACACATTTGTGTGTTTGCAGATCGACAAGTCACTCTGCCTGGGTGAGCCCGGGGCGAGCAGTCCCAGCTGAGGTGCAGATGTGCAGTGCCAGCTCTGCGGGGGCTCCTGAGCACACACAGCCTCCCGTGGAAGGCACTGCGGGAACGGCTCCGAACAGAGCCTTTCCCGGATGTTGAGGCAGCGACGAGCTCGGGCTGAAGTGCAGTGTGGGCCGCTGTGGAAATGAGCTACATTTCCACAAGTTAAAATCTCACCTGGGATTTCAAGGGTATTTTATTCATTAAACTAGCTTACTCTTCTATTTTTCATATATATTCATATATATTCATAATGGCAAAATAATTTTTTTTCCCTCAAATTTGAAGAAATGATAGAAAAAACATTGGACACTTGATTGCTGTAGAAGCAGGATTGTGCCTTTAAGGCAGAGGGAAGGAATGTGTCAGTCATGGCCCCTCTAAAACAGGGACTTATCTTGATTATAGTGTTAGCTTGGTAGTAGAATATGATCTCATCACTGTGAAAGATTACATGAAGTATCAGCTTGGCTGGCCTTGAAACAGCTCTATTCTCAGTTGCATTTTCAATTGCTGCAGCTGACATGGGGTTCTGTAATTTGAAGAGACAGCCACAAAGATGGCTTGCAGAATTTGGCCTATGTATTCAAGTAAAAAAATTCAGGAGTGGATTAAAGCACGGCTGCCTCTGACGTTTTCTCTTTGTTTATTTTTTGTTGTTGGTTTGGTTTGGTTTTGAGAATGTCAAGACCTAGCAAAACTTGAACACCCTTAACTTTACAGTACTTAGAATATACATCAAACCTGGGAAGATAAGACACCTGTCTGGTGGAAAGTCATTAAAGTCCATGTAGACTAAAATGTGAATTATTTTCCACCTTCAAGGAATGATATGCTCAATGACACTAAGTGCATAAGACAGTTTTGAGCAGTAGGTGTTCTGGGTGCTGCAGTCAGGGAGTGGTTTTTGTGGAGCACACGATATGCTGTGCTCGTGCCTTCAGCTGTATGTTTGCTCTGAAGCCTTGAAACCAGATGACACCTTCCTAAGTGAATGAGAATTAGGTGTAATTTATTCTTGGGTAGATGGTGTTTTTAAAAGAAATAACTTTCTACCTTGAAATTAAGCTGTAGACTAATTATTTACTCAAGATGATGAGGGATCTCTGGTGCTGAAACTGTCAGTCTGGCAGAGAAGAATCTACCTGGAACGTAAATGACAGCTGAGTACTCAGCTGACAAGTCTGATATTCTGAGGCAAAGTCAGAAGGTCTATTAATTTGTTTTCTCTTTTATGTCAGCATAAAAAATACTTTCTAAAATAAGGAAAAAAAGGAGAAGTGTTTCTCTGCTAAATCATATGGATGCCAGGCAGGTGTGTTATGTATTTACTTGTTTTCCTGAGCTTAAATTCAAAGAGCACATCAATACCCTGACCCAAAAGTAAGGATGGGAAAAGGTAAAAAAAAAAAATCCACAATGGCCATGGTTTTCTCATGCACTGGTTCCAGCCATGATCTCTCAGAAACTGGCTCCTTCAGAGCTGGACACACCCCTCAAATCGTATGGAAAGAGGGTACAGGCAACCCCTCTGCATTCATTGCCCATTCTTCTCTCACTTCTTTTTCCCTCAGTTTCCACTGTTGACCCATCTATTTTCCCTTTTTCCCTCTAAATTCAGTTTTCTTTCCGCAGTCCATTTTCCTACTTGGTGCCTTGATGCCCTCCTTCCTCCTGTGAACTTTGCAGGTATAATCCTGCAATGTTCTCAAGAATAGGTTGTGCTCCTTCTGTGTTTTCTGCTTAGGAAAAAAAAGAAGCCCTTTTCAGAGGAAAACTTCTGCATGTGCTCTTTTCCCTCTTGCACCAGGAAGGGTGCAATCTTTAAGATTCCTGCCAACACTCAGACTTGCATCCCAGCTGGGGACAGGGTGGGTTCCATAGCTACTGCACATTCCTTTGAGCTCCCCACCTTGTCTGAAAACTCCCAGGTCAGGAAGCCTTTCACCTCTTCCAGGTTAGGAAACCTTGCAGCTATTTGCTCAGTGCACGTGCACCATAATCCCTTTGGCTCTTGAACCTTATACTTTATGCCCTCATTGAGAGCTAAACACTATTTATTTATTTATTAGTGCTGTTTTCAGTTTGACTTCTGCAGGGGGTAGTAGATGCCATGCACTAAGTGAAGCACACTGGAGTGATGGAGGCCATTTGGGCACGAGTGGAGCCATGGTGTGAGTCCTGAGTCTGTGCAAATGAAACATCAGTAGGCCTGCCAAGCCTAAGAAAAGCTGTTTTATTTCTAGGGGTGTATTCCAGAAACTGCATTTGGAACATAGACACTATTATAAATGACCATTGTAGCAGATTTTGTGGCATTTTGTATTATCTTTCCAAAATCCCAGAAGAGGTTCAAATGGGGTTTCAAAAGCTGGAAGGGGCTCTCAGCCTCAGTGTGGCTGAGGTCAGGTTCTGCTGCATTTGTGTGTTTCTGATTCTTTGCCTGAAGACTCAGTGGCAGATCCAAATTAAGGTGGTATCTGAAAACTGAAATGGGAAGAGAGTAGATTTTCCCTGCTGTAAAGAGCAAGATTTCAGCTAAAGAGGAAGGTGTCATGGGCTTTCTGTTGTATAGACAGTTAATTGAGGTAAAGGATGGTGTAGTCTTTTCTAAACTACTGTTTCTTGTCAAATGTACACACGAAAAAAGCTCTGACTAATATAACTGAAGTTATATCAAATAATAAAAAAACAGAGTGAGGAAACAAGGCAGCACTTAGTCCTGTATCTCTGTAATAATCTTGGAAAAGAGGGCAAAAAGGTGAACTATAAAGAAAGTTAATGCAGAGCACTGGTACAGTGCAATGGGTGTTGGCTCAGAACCACAGTTCATTTGACCTGCCTTTTAATATCCTGGAATTTCTCTGTCATTCTCAGTGAAGATGCTTAGAAATGTTTGGAGCCTAATCTGAAGTGGAGAGGTGTTTTCTCTGCTCCAAGGCTGCAGTGGCTCTCGGGAGGTGAGGGGAGGTTGTGGTAAAACACTGCCCTGCAGCTCTGCAGTGTCTGACAGCTTTTTGGGATGAAAAAGTGTTATGCATCGAGGATCTCAAATTCCTTCCAAGGAATCTCACAGATAGTTGGGAACAGAGACAATGAGTCATTTCTTGGGAGAGGATTTTGTTTTCATATCCTCAGTACAAGGTGTTGCTATAATAATAGTAATCATTATTATAGAGAGAAACAAATGCATTCAGGCTGCAGTTTTGACCCAATCTGTTTTGCTGCTTCTTTGCATTGGTATTTACTAGTGTGAATTGTGTGTTTTTTCTTTCTCTCAGTAACAATATTTCTAATTACGGCAAATGGGAACAGCAAAGAATAGCATGACTCAAGTCTATGAGCAAATCATTTTTCTAAGTATTTTAATTTTGAAGGAAAATGTTTTGTGTTGATTTTGTGCTTTTGTTCTTTTCCCCTAAATATTCTGATATTACTATAACTGCAAGGAACTGGTCTTCTCTGATACCTGTACATGATATTCAGCTAAGAAGAGAAAGAGAAGAAGCAGGAACCTCCAAGAGTGGCGGACTGATAAGTCTAGAAGTGGCACCAAGGGCTGAAAACTGTCTCAACTGGTGCTTTGAGATGAACAAAATTATGTGAGATTACATTATTCATTATGAAGAGTTTAGAAGCAGTAACTTACTTGAAAGCTGTGTCTAGTGTACCAAGCCTGTGTGGCAGCCAAGAGTACAATGTATGGAGCTAACACAGTGAGGGTTGGAGTGTAAACTCACCTGGAACATAACTACAGACCCTTTTGCAAAAGAGTTAGCAATGAAAGGATCTGTGTGTGGACAGAGCATCAGCAACCTGCATACAATCACACTCAGATTTGAAAGATCTGTTCCTCTGTGGACAGAAAAAGCTTTGCTAGGAATCAGGGTTTGTCCTCACTGCCTGTTTCAGGAGTACTTATGCTAATTTTGTGCTAAGGATGGCTTAACCACCCCTACTTGAGGTGCTGATTGTTCTTCATTCTGTGCTCCAAATACATCCAGGCTTCACCTGAAGTGTAGAAAAGGTCATCATTGCATTGGAGAACTCGTAGGGATTTTATGTTGTTTTTACAGACCCACCAAACTACAGGGCCTTATGCCTGTTTCATGTGGGTCAAGCCTATGATGTAGTTTTTTGGTTCTTCAAGGAGGTTTAAATTTTGTTTAAATAAACCCTGAAGCATCCAATTTTTCATTCATAGATTAGGAATGTCCAGCATGTGTTACAGTGGCTTAAGAGAATTTACTTCTCTTGAGCTGCTGAGACAGTGGACATTTTTCATTAGTGCCTTTTTCTTCTCCCTAGTTCTCCTTTTCTCGGTCTCTGCTAATCAAATCTGAGTTTAATACTTGAATTAAATTCTAAACTCTGATGTTCAAAGTAGGTTTGTGATTGGGCTGAAATAATTCATTCTGTCCATGCTGAACCCACCTAATCTACTTGCAAGTTGTATTCTTGCCCTTTGTAGTGCAACATTTCTGTCACCCAAGCAAGAAAAATAGATCTTCACATGCTTGGCCGATTCGTGTAAGCCACTGTTTAGTGAATAGACCCTTTGGTGTGTCACTTTTTTTTCTGCTTGTTTGATAAACTTGAGACATAGTTACTTTGAAGATTGGGCATTATCTACCTACTCTGGGAACAGTTCCATGAAAACTCAGATTGGATCTCTGGGCTGCTGACAAGCTAATTCTGGGCATTATTGTGAGCCTCAAGGTCAGCGTGCTTTCAACAGCAGAATAGAATTTCTGGTGCATTCATCTCTCACTTTAAATAGGCCTCTCAACCTGGGCTAGCTTTCCTACTGGTATGAGAATTCAGGCTTATACACGTTGTAGAAGGTTTTAAAGATACTGAGATAGGAAAGGGAGAGGAGGTTCAGACTGCAGAGGTGATTAAGTAGCAGCATGAGTTTTCACCCTAATGAACCTCCACCCAAACTCTTGGCTGAATAAAACCACCTTCCTGTGTTATAGTAACTGATGTGAAAAGAACTGGTGAACATTTTTTTGGGGAGATGAATAGAAGAGGTTTCTTGAATGGTTGTTTTTGT